GAGTGCTGGGATTAAAGGCGTGTTCCAACACCGCCCGGCTAAAATCCTACATTCTTATATTTAGCATTTACTAAAATGTGGCCTGTAAAATTTTTACCTCCAAGAAATCACTAAATTTTGGTTAATGGTCTTACATACTGTCAGTTTATGTATATTTTCTCTGTGAAACAAAAAATTAATATCATTTTCATTTGTTTTGTGAGTATATGAACTCTAGGGGTTCTTTCTTTAATTTAAGCTATTTTCTTCATTTAGACTTATACTTCAGTCCGTATAGTCTTATAGGCACAGCCAACTGTCTCCTTTTTATATATTCAAGGATCCCAGCCTGGGGAATACCAGCACCTACTGCAGACAAGTCTTCCTAGCTCAATTAACCTAATCAATAGTGTCCCACAGGCATGGCCACCAGCCAACCTAATCTATACAGTTCCTGAAAGGGGCTGCCTGAAGACTTTTCTCTTAGGTGATTCCAGATACTGTCAATCAACAATTGACAAGGACTGTAACCATACCCCTGTCCCACTCCCCCACTGCTGTAGAGACTTGTGTACATGGGAGCTGCCTTGGGGTGTGTATGGTTTTTAATGTACTTTCACCTTCTGTTTGCAGAGCCTCCACCCAAAGTGCGTCTGGTGAATGGTCCCCACCACTGTGAAGGACGTGTAGAGGTGGAACAGGAAGGTCGCTGGGGCACTGTATGCGATGATGGCTGGGACATGAAGGATGTGGCAGTGGTGTGCCGAGAGCTGGGCTGTGGAGCAGCCAAGCACACACCTATAGCCATGTTGTATCCACCAGTAGTTGATGAAGCTCTGCCTGTGCTCATTCAGGTGGCCCTGTGCAATGGGACAGAGAAGACCCTGGCTGAATGTGACCAGGTCGAGCCCTTTGACTGTGGACATGATGAAGATGCTGGGGCTGTGTGTGAAGGTGGGTGATGATGGAGCTGACATGGGGCTGAGCCCCTCCTTAGGCTGCCATCCTCTGCTTTTCTTTCTGCACCTATTCTACAGTAGAATGCACTGAGGGCAACACAGTCAGGTCACATTAATTCGGCCCTGATCTATAAAACAGACTGTCCTCTGCTATCCATCCTTATTGGCCATATTAAAAGACAAAACATTATTATTTTCATGGTTTGAGTTGGAGCATAATATGAAGCATCAATTTTTATTGTTTGGGTGGTTTTAGTCAGGGAGACACTGCTCACATTACTGTGAAATCTTTTAAACTTTTCTGAGCTCTTTTTAGCAGATCTACCCATCAGAATGAAGCTCTGGATTCTATAGGTAGAGGACAGCTGGTGCGTTGTTTTGGAAAGACATTGGTGGCCCAGAAAGTCGGGTCCAGGAATCAGGCCATACCAGGCATAGATTCCAGAGGGTCAGAGCAAAATGAAATCTGAGAATTGCTGCAAATTTCCACATCTCCATAGAGCCTGTGACTAGAGAGGCAGCCAGGGACAATGTCCTCCCCAGCCTCAGCCCAGTGAGTGCTAGAGTGGCCTTTTGTGAAAAGAGAATTCCTTAGAACTACTGGGCCCATGCCCATTGCAAGGCACTTGTAAAGGCAGTAGCTTGTTCAAGGTAATGGAATCAGGACTAGGCTCTCTAGAACCCATGGGATCTGGAGTCTACTGTACAGAGCCTTTGAGGCCGACCTCCCCCAATCACCAGCCCTAGAAGTAACAGACTTCTCTATGGCTCATTATCTCTGTCAGAAAAGTGTGGTGTCTAGTCCAAGTTCTTCACTGAGTTGAGATAAAATCAGGATTTCACCCATTCCTGAGGCTCTTTGGTGAAAGTCCATATGTAGGAAGAATCCCCAGGGGCTGATTGGGATGGTTGAGACAGGTTGTGGGATGGCTTCCGTGGTTCAGGCTGGCTTCTGGTCTCATTCTGCATCACATGTACCCTTAGAAAATCTGGTGAATGTGTCTGCACAGTCCTTTGCTGGGCCACTGTATCCTGACCTCTCATTCCCTCTACACAGCAGTCTTGCCTAGCACTTCCTGAAGATCTAATGACCAGACACCATCAGATCTCCTATTTTCTGCATTTGGACCTCACAAGCTTAATAGTTCTCACTGGACTTCAAGACTTCATCTGTGAATCATCCTTCAACAGGATGCAAAACAATTCTGCTCTGAGCTTAAGGTCTAGCAGCAGTAAAGAAGGCCCAAGTCCCCTAGTCCCTGGAAGCCAAGCTTGGAAAAACTGTTCCCTTTCCAGTTCCTTCTAGCTATCTCCTTGGAGGGATGAAGAGGTGGGCTCAAGTGAGAATCACATGTGCTTGGGCCTTCCATCCCCTAGATTGTGGTCAAATAAAGCACATATAATAAAAGAAACTGTGAGTGCTTTATTTCATTTCTTGATTTGGGAAGAAACTAGCTTTTAAAAAAATCTTCATAAACCACTTGCTAAGTTATAGATGTAAATCAAAAATTTAAAAAGTGATATATAGAAAACAAAATAAAAATTAGACAAAAGTCACATTATAATATGTACAGATGGATAAATTAAT